AAGTCGTGCTATATGAATATATGAGTGACGTTTTCTCTTAGCATACATTCGCGGAGATAGTTGCCGTCACGGCGGATCGTGATCTACCTCCAATTAGTACGTCCACAACTATTACGGACAAAGTAAAATGAATTATGTAAAGCATAAAATTTAGAGAGAAATTAGTTGCATGCTTTAGTCTATGCGTATGCGCTGTAATGATAGTGCTGTGACGTCGTGAGTTATGCAACTGAAGTTTGGATTTTGGGTTTGATGTTGAGTCAACAACGCACCTGAAAATCGCACTTAATCTTAGTACATAAGGTGCCGTATTGTTTAGTGGATGGATGTGCTGTTGTCTATACTAGGATATTGCATGACTGAAGACGTTTTGACATTTCATTTCGGTTTTCCTGTCAGTTAAATGAAGCAAATGCATTTGGTACATAAAAATAACTAAGCAGTTCCTATAAAATTGTTTTTTGATCGGACTTTTCCTACCTACTGCCTACCACGAAATAAACATTTTTAAAAGCTGCCAGTATGGACACTTTTTCGATTTTATTTTTAATTGAATTATCTTTCTATCAACCTCATGAACAACAGATTCAACTAACTTTGGACTAGTAAATTGCCCGGCTGCCTCAAGTTACTCTACAGAAGTGACTCTTGCAACAAAAAGTGAAAATCCATGTGCATCTACAATCGATGCAAGTAAACTAATACCCAAGTACTCTAATGCATTAGTGCTAGGTTTAATAATCTTACGGACTTTATTGCAAGCCGGCCAGGGTGTTGGCCAAGCGGTGTCAAGTATCACATTGCGACATGCGCAGGCGGCCTGCCGATCGCGTAATAAGGACAACGCTGTATAATTCACATGTAGGTATAGTTCGCTTTGTTGCTGTATAAACTTACGCCGTTTTATACGCCGCTCTCGGATTTTCTCCGAAAACTTTACTATACCTTGCGTTTCAAAAACACATCAGTTGATCAATAATTATTGTTAAGAGTGCATCTATGCATGATATTATTATGCTCGTAGATATATTTAAAAGGCTGTCTACATCCCTATTCTAAGAAATTGGTTGCTAAAGTTTACATAAAAGAACGATTCAAACACATCCAATTCAAGTAGCTGCCCCCAAACTGACTTCTTTTCAAAATGAGCTCGCTTTTATATTTCTGAGAACTATAACTTGTACCTAAAACTTTAAATTAGGTCACTGTCTAACTTAGTCGCTAACACTGGTCACTCTGGTCAGTTAGAAATAAAAAAAAAAAAACAAAATTTCAAAATATAACGTTGTAAACGGTCTGTTCACATCAACTTCGGTCGGATCACAACAACTTTAAGGTGCGTATTATTTTCCTGAAAATCGGCTAAAGCTGTTGCTGCATTTTATAAAATATTTTACAATAGAGTAAATAAAACAAATGAAAATTTTTTCTTTAATGCTCACAACGGAACTGTGCGACCTCGAACTACATTTAGCGTTGCACTGTTTCTCAATTCCTCTTTGCTGAAATGCTAGACTAACTTCAGTGCTGTTTATTTTCGTGACTGACATTCGCTTAGCCTAACTATAATGTCAGGTTTAGAATGGATCCTTGTTATAAAAACACGGTTTAATACCAATGTTTGTGTAACCATTCACTGCTAGCATTATATTGGATATACCTACCAAAGATTTTGTTTTATAGGATGCAGTTTTATTTCAGTAATAAATTTGATTTGAAACTAACCTAACTATGACACCAAACATTGATTTTAATAATTTTGACAAAATGAATTAATGTAAGATTAAAGTTAAATTTTATTTATCACAGTAGGTAACAATTACTCGCATTAGAGTGAAGAAGTGTAGCAACATTAACAATTATTAATGTCAGTTTTGACATCACTGTCATAACCGTGACCATGTTGAGGATTACGTGACAACTGTGACATAAAGTGGTCCAATCGCGAACTAGTTAATTTGACATTGCATTTCACTAAGGTCAAACACTTGGACGTCTTTCAACGTGCCGTAACACACACTATTGTTGTGGCCAGTCACGTTCTTGATCAATGGAACATAGCTGACCCCTTTTACATTTGCAGTTAGTCATAAAAAGTCAATATTTCTATGAAAAGATCCGATATTAGTTGCGCAAATGGGTCGAACTGTATCTATTTGTGATTCTTGATCGATTGTATCAAAAATATTATAATTTAAGTAAAGAACAACATCAGTTGGATAAAATCTGTAGATACGCAAATTTCCAAAATGAAGAAGTTCCGGGAAAATGCGAAAACTCCACAAATTAACCAATTAAAACTTACCTAGACGAACATGTATAGTTGCAACAAGTAGTTAAACCGCAGATTGCCATGATACGAGAAACTGTTATGCTTGACCTTGTGGTTTTTTATCACAAAGACGTAACGGAACTCCACTACATACCAGACGTGTCTGTGAAATCCAGGCAATTTATGATGCGATCATCCAGATACACGTCCCGACAAAAGGCCAACGTCCAGCGTTGAACTCTAAGGACCACAAATGACAGCGGTCATCAGGCATCAAAATAAGCAACACAACGGAATCTTTGATAAAATCGTATGACTTACAGGATGCCTATTGTGGATTCGTTCCACTGTTTTTGTCGGACCGTCAACATAATACGAGGAAAATTATGCACCGGAGCTTTGAACGCGGGCTCATTCATGCTTGATCATATTTTAATATGTAAGAAAATGTCTGATGATGTCGTTTGTTCGAGATACTTACATCCATAATCATAGGTACAATTTATTTTTTGTCCACCTAAAACGTCAAGAAAATTGTGAGTAAAGACATTAAGTAAATATAAAGTTTTCAACAGTTATTTTTCTTGAATGTGGAATTGCTATCAAACATAGATGCTGCAACGGCAGATTTTTTCACCAATACAAACGAGGGCGGGCGTCAACTAACAGAGAAAACCATGACAATCGGCACCGCGATCACACCTGTTGCGACAACGTCGTCTTATGTAAAGTACAACGCCGCTACAATTGGTGTAGGCACGAGAACTCCATGTAACAAGCTGTCGATGTAAATCAAACAAGCGATGTTATCGGCGTAAGCGCTGAGGCTAAATGTAACGCAGTAAGCGGCGGCGACGCTTTGTACGGGACGGCGGGTTCTCACGTCCTTAATAACTGTAAGCAGTCGGAAACGATTACAAAAACGTAACCATTGACAAAGGAAAGGAAAACGTAATACGCGGAACAGCTATGGGAGACACTTGCAAATCGATTTGATTAAGACCTTAACATTCGCTATCGGTAGCGACATACTGCTATCTCTCGTACACGACATCACGCAACTTCTGAATAGAATTTGGTAAGGGTTTTCGAGGTTGACCAATGACCGTGAGTAGGTATAGCCAGATGGTAAGTTCAGTTACTTTAGGATGCAAGAGATCTTGCATTAAGATCTTACAAGATATCTCGAAGAACTATTTCATTAAATTGAGCTTTCGACATTGAAATTATCGTCTTCAGACTTACTGATATACCTTCACTAGGTATCTCTATTATTGCCATCAAAATTGCTATAATAAGCAAATCCACAACCGTACAACCGATCACTTTAGCCGCATTTGTGAAAATTGCACATTACACTTTGATTTCACTCCGATAACTTGACATAATGGTCACAACCGTAACCGCTTTCGAGCTTAATGTGTCATTTTAGTTCTATTATCCACTTTTACCAGCACCTGTGTTAACTGATCCACAAATTTTGCGGCAAATGATTCGAACGTGCTATGATTTATGTGTGGAAAGTGCTACCGTAATATAACTGCCTCGTTCATTAGTCACACTAAAATTTAAAGTATAAGTAGTTCTTTTAGTTCGCAAATACTCGTACGCTCTTATGAAGGTTTAATGTTAGAAAGCTAAATTAGACGTTTTATGTTAACAGCTGTAATTAGAATGATTAGAAAACAAATTGTCCTTTCACTTACATTTATGTTGTTTACGCTCATAATAACATAAATTACAGTACAGGCGACAGCACATTAGACTATCAATATCTGTTGCAAACGAGTACCTTTTACAAGTACTTGATAAGATGCCGAAGTTTACCTTGCTGAGCTGTCGTCTGTACCAATAGTACTAAAAGAGTACCTAGTTTAGGCAAATTTTAGTACTAATTTTTATAAAAAAAATATCTGTAAAATAGGCATTTTCTAATTTTTACTCACCCAGACGTGAAACATCAAAAAATAACTTTATACCTGAAAATCTAGTCAGGCCGATGCAGTTCAAGAATCTCGCAATAGAAAACGTGTAAGATGCACGAACGCACGTTGCGTCACGCTGCGCACGCGACGGAGTTAGCGAACCCGGCTCGTGCGTGATGTGAAATTTGTGAAACGGTGCAGACATATTATGTAAAATATTTTTTAAAATGAATTGACTCGTAGAGTATTGAAGATGCGTCAGTGATTAAAGGTTACTTTGGTTACTTTGCGCAAGTTCTTGTCTGTGACGCTTGACGCAAATGTTAGGAGAAAGACATATTGATGTACATTTATAGATAAATATGCGTAATGCCATGTAATAAAATTGAATAAATGTTTTTTCTAACAATCACAGTCATCAATCATCAGCCTCAAACGATAGAGCTTATATGTCATGACAATTACATACTGACTAAACACAAAATACAATAAGTACATTATTATAGTCCTTGACTATGAAACCAGTTGCGGTTGCAGTTTTGAATCCCGATAGAGCAATTTATATAAGTGTGATGACTATGAGCATACAGAGATATAGTAAACTCACATTTTAGTACCTTAGTATGTTTATCCGTCTCAGTTGCTCTTGTATTTATAAGTTTGGGCGAGATTATCTATGTACTTAACGTATGAGAAGCTACCAGGTCAGGTAACATTCGAAAATTTGTTATACCTTTGGGAAAGCCTACGTCACCAACGCTCTATCTGAGCCCAGCCAAAGCAAACTAAACCAAAAGTCTTACCTTATAGAGTTTATCCTTCTGGTACCACACATCCTCCTCCTCTTCCAGCTGCGCGGCCTGCGTGAGGTCGTCGCGGGAGCGCGACAGAATGCGACGCCGTGACACCATCTCAGCACCCGCCGCCGCCTCAAATGGGCCTAAGCTGGAACAAGGAAAGAATAACGTTAGTACTGTTGAAAATTAAGCTAAAGTAGCTCTAAGGCTAAGGCTTAGTTGCACCACCTTACTTTCATAATAATAATCATCATCATTATTTCAGCCATAGGACGTCCAATACTGAACATAGGCCTCCCCCAATAATTTCCATAATGGAGGGTTGGTCCATTGGTGGCCGCCTGCACCCACAGCGCCATCCCGCTACCTTAATGAGGTCGTCGGTCCACTTTGTGGGTGGACGTCCTACGCTACGCTTTTCGGTACGTGGCCTGTACTCCAGAACCATCCATCTATTTTATTTTAACTTTGTCAAACGTCAAAAAGCTGTCAAACTCCATACAAAAAACGCCGGTTATCGTTAAAGTTATGGTTACTTTAACCGTCACTATAACTATAACAGAGACAGACTTTTAATGTTTGTGATAGTAAAAGTAAGTTGGTACAACCCAGGGTTAGTTTTAGTGGAATTTTCGACCCAGAACGTTTGATTTCCATGACATAGGGGTGGCACACCAATGTATTATGGAAAAAAGTATTTCTTCACAAGCTTGTATCATCCTAATTGGCCAATACCTATGGTTTGGTTTACATTTTGGTAAGCTTTGGTTTACACATAAAAAACCTCGATCTGATGGAGACATGTCAATAAAAGCCTGACATAGGTAAGAAAGAGTAAAAGCTCCTTTAATTTTATTTTGTCAGCCTAGTGACTTTAGACTCGACAATGAAAGTGCAAAATGCTATATCGTGCGATGCGAAATAAAATTAGTAAATAGATCACTTGAAAGTATAACTGCTTGCTATCATGTAATGAAGAGCAATAAATTACAATCAAAATCAAGGAATGATAGTTCTACTCGTATAAAACTTCTGCCGAACACGCGCGATGCTTTTTAAAGATAAGATTTATTTAAAAAGTGTCTTTATTCTAAAGGAATAACTTAAAATAAATCAACGAAGATTAAAAAGTAATTGCCCTTTTTAAGAACATAACTTATTAACAATGACAAAACACCAAAAAGCATTTAGCACAAGACCCATTCAAAAACCACGATCCTATTATCGATACAGTTACAATGTAAGACTTTCTAGCAGATTAAGTTACACGTAACAGTATTATGAAACGAAACAATAGGAGCAGTGAAAGCTTGCTATCGTTTAGTATCTTCATCAGCAATCATTCAGGATTAATAGTTGCTATTCGTCAAAATTGGCCGCCAATTCAGCGGCTGTGAGAAAATTTAGGAGATGCGTAGGCTTAGCTTAAGTTTAAGCAGTACAGTCAGCAGTGAGTATTTATTACTGGGAAATATTATACTCAACCAATCTGCTAGTCATTTTCAACTTCAGTTAAAAAGCTCACAATGACATAATTATGGGGTCTATTCCACTTTGATCACCTGGATTTGATCATCAAAGTGGACTGTAATAAAACGGGACTATTCCCACCTCTAGTTCCCACCACTGCAACTCCTGTGTAGCCAGGATCTAGAGCGTGACCGCCAATAAAATCTCAACCAGTGAAGGTCAAGTTTCTCCCGGGGGAAAGTTAAACTGTCATTGGACCCACAACAAAATTAATCTGAAGAACATAGGAGGACTTCTGGAATAGACCAATTATGGACACGTTGGCGTCCTGACAATTACTTTTCTTTAAAATTACCGGAGGTGGAACCGATCCCTAGCTTATTAGTCCGGGACGCAAATCAATAAACCTTATAACATTTAATTTATCACCAATAAATTTCTGCAGTCTGAAACTTCCCGACTGAATTAACGAACGACCAAAAAGGTATATCTAACTACACTATCTAATACCGTTGTAATAACTGATATTTTGCAAAAACCTATAGTTTTAAATGCTGGTGACTGTACTAGTGGGTAGCTTCTCTAGACAAAGGCGCTTCCTTCCGAACAATGTTTGGCATTGGGCGCGACATTGGCTCTGTGGCCCGTGTCTAACGAGCTAGCTGTTCCTCCCATTCATAGAGCCTACAAGACGGTTTGTTTACGATGTTCGCAATAGTCACCGCCAATAAATCTAGCTATCCTGTGGATAGCACAAAAAAAGCTGACAACTATCCAAAAAAAAAAAACTAAAGATTTAAAGAATCCGTTTTTGATGTAAAGATTGCCAAATATTATTGAAATAGGTATACCAAAAATAAACTATAAGACTAAGCTCTATTCACTTTACAGTTAAATTTTTCCTAGCAAATAAAGAAATATAACCAGCCTCTTTACTTCTTTACCTCACGTACATACTTTTAATATTTAACTTATAGCCACGTCCACAGTTTACGAGTAGGTTCCTTATTCAAACCGTTATTTTATTTTTTGTGTGTATTTTTTTCTTGTGTTCAATAAAAGAGTAACAGACTGGCAACTTATAAAAAAAAATGTCATGTCTTCATAGAAATCGAGTAGGTCGTGCTTCGAAAAAGGCGCGAGGCTTTTGTTTTTTTTATGTGTCATTTTTATTATAATCTGTGCAAGTTTAGATTTCTAGCAATTATTTTATACTGCCCTTATTTCACTATAAATACATCAGCATTAAAATACAACAAAGGACCTTTAAGATTAGCACTCAAATATAAATTATTTCTGTAAGCTACTGGAATACCTCCAACGAAGGCTTGCATTTAGCTTAATCTTACTTCACAGCTTAGAGTTGTTTCTACCCACTTGACATATTTCTTAAGATTTAATGTCCAGGCCAACATACATGATTGATTTCAGCGCCATTAATATAAATAGCTTGAAAGTGGAAAGCACCGTTTTCTTTTGCACACAATTTTCTTATGAAAGTCAATGGTGTTACTAATTGAGGGGGTATTGTAAACAGAAACTGTTAACACATATTCTTTGACAGATAGGTAATTTGAATCTTCCAGCTACTTGGCCTACTTTTAGCTTGGTCCATGGGCAAATATTATAAATGCGAAAGTAACTCTGTCTGTCTGTCTTGCTTTCACGCCTAAACCACTGAACCGATTTTGATGAAATTTGGCATAGAGATAGTTTGAGTCCCGGTTTTTGAAACAGGGACGAGCACATTAAGTTTTTCTGTGAAAGACAAAATTCCACGTGGGCGAAGCCGCGGGCGGAAAGCTAGTCTGTAATATTTCCAAGTCCAAATAAGTAGAGTCATTTTGACTTCTTTTAAGTGCCACTCAATTAAAACTCTAATTAATCAGCTTAAGGTCAGTTTTTGTATAGCAATAGATCATCGATATATCGGTCACCAGAACAGTTATACTCACAAACTTCTACAGTAGGTCAAATGCACTTTCACAGTGATACCATCTCATTGTAGAGTCAACAGCATATCAGTTTATACATTCTTCTTGCAAAATAGCCTTTATTACAATTAGATAAGACTCAATCATAATAATATTTAGCTTGATGTGCTCTCGAACAATCAGCAAAAGATTTATCTTAAAATACCGCAAAGCGAATAGTGTTGTCGTAACCTGACATCGATGTATTGATAACCGATTTGTTTCAATATTTATAATAGTGTTATCTCTTGTTAGTATCTGTGTCGATTCAATTGATACTCAGTACTTTGCATGTAGTTTAGATTGTTGATTTATTATAACCTTAATTTATAATCAGGTTAGTCAAACTGGTGTAACTGGATAATCGTTAAATACTGTAAATAAATAGAGTGAATAGACAATAAACTATTCTCTAATGCATGTTGTTTTCACCTTTAATTAAGTTTGCATTTAACAAGTGTCGTTTTTGTAAGTTATTCTTGTGAACCTTGTTGATGATCAAATAAGTAAATAATTCATTTGAAAAACGATCAAAAACATAAGTTTGCAGACTCTATATTACTAGCTACAAGTCTAAAACATTATAAATCATTTGATTGATAGTAAAACTATGTTTTCGTCCATATCCAATGATCAAGATAGCCGTATTCGAATAAATCACGATCGATATGCAGATAGTTTCGTCCGCTCGAAGTTTCACAGAAGGCAAGGTGCCTACGAGATCGATATGATGTAATTGACATCCGATATTGGTAAATCGATTCAAGTTTTATCGATTTCAACAAACTCACGATTATGTTATGGTACGTACCTATTATGTTTCGTTATCTAGGTATATTAAGTGCTCTACAATTACTAGGTTGGACGTGTCATTTAGTGGAATACATATTTATGAAATGTCTACTATGAATAAGCTTGTTACAACAGGTTATGCTATCAACTCTTTTACCTACCAAAGATCCAAGATGGCAGTACAAACTGCTAAATAGGAAATCAACAAAATTAAGGGTAAATTATAGCAAATTAAATTGTTAATAAATAAGGTTTATCAAAACTTTGACCCAAAAATATCAACTTCGACGATAGAAATAAAATCAAACGACACCATCAATATTTATCTGCCTCACCTGCAATTATAGCTCCTTAAATAACGTCACACTCCACATAAACGATTTGAAATCACACAAAAAACACGCGTTACACCTTGTGTGTATAGACGCACGCGCATACCTCAGTTAAACTCATACCTGTCGAACCGAGTATGGTTGATTACTGACTGGCAACCACTATGAATGCCGGATTTTGTAATATTATGAAAGCAATACTTACATACACCGAACTTGTATTGATTTGATATCCTCGCGCAATAACATAGCTATAACGATCGTAAGTATTTAGCGGTATTTATGAGCAAATAGCCTTTTATAGAATTTTCTATAAGACTGCTAAATGAGCATTAAGTTTCTTTAATATATCAAAATACAAAGGTAGGTCGTTAGACTTTACCTATCATTCATCGTAATATTTCATTCGATCCTATTCATATATTTATAACATTTTGAAGTAATTGGTCTTGAAAATTGGAAGGTCTGACATTAACAGTAGTTACTCAATTACATATTTCTAATTATAAATTATTGCTTTACATAGAGAAAAGTTACAATGCAACATATTATAATTTTACTACATAACACTGCACTG